AGTTACAGATAGAAATGACACTTGAGCTGAAAGACATGATAAGAAGGTGACTAGCAAATATTCCAAATGTACGTACATGCATAAAAGCTCTGAGGTTATATGAGTTTAGTATGTTTGAGAACTGAATAATTATGGCTAGAGGTAGGAATTGAGGTAAAGTATTAGGTGACAGTTTAACATACTCCTTGCTAAAGAATTTGAAAATTATTCTGAACAGTGACAAACCTGTTGAAAGCCTTTAAAGCATGAGTAGCATAACCTCATCCATACTTGGAAAAAGCAATTTTAAAAAGATAACTATGGTGTTCTATAGAGGATGGAACACAGGAAATAAGGGCATAAAGAAGGCTGTTTCTAGAAAAACAGTAAATATTAATGTCAGTAACTCAGACAGGGAAAATCAGGAGTTACTCTTATGTAGAAAAATAATTGATAGAAAAACAAATGGAGGGGACCCATCCACTCAGGACTCCCCTTCTGGCCCTCTCTCAGACAGAAGCTTTCTTTCCCTCAATAAATATATACTGAGAAAAAGAAAAAAACAAATGGAACTATAAGTGAATAAGGAGATAGCCCTGAAAAGCTCTGCAGTAGGTTTCTCAATAGAAAGAAATGCTTCTACAGAGGCTCTGTACCAGTGCATGTGTCACAGTCTTGAATGAAACTACTTCGTGAGCTAGGTGGGTGCTAAGTGCAGTGATAGGCGTGCTTGTACCTGAGAGGTAGAATCCGCTCTACACAAACACAAGGGAACATGAGTGAGAAGGAAGTGACGGAGTGATGCACCTGCAATCCAAGGGGCTCCAGAGTTCTCCAGAAGCAGGAAACCGCAAAGGATGGAGTCTCCCCTACACCTCTGAAGAGAGCACAGTCATGCCAAGACCTTGATTTTGGACTTCAGGCCTCCAGAACTGTGAGGAGATGGATTTCTGTTCTTTTAAATGAGCTAGCCAGTAATAGTTTGCTGATAAAATTTTTAAAAACTAATGTAGAATAAAAGAATAAAATATGTGGCCATACAGAAAATATGAGTCAAAGACAACTTTGAAAAATTCTGTCAGAACAAAAAATGAACAGAAATCAATAAATATATGATTTGAAAAGACAAGAATTGTGTATCATAGGTAGGTCTACTTATTAGTGTTCCTAAAACAATAAATGGAAGGGATTTTTAAATATATAATTTATAAAGATATGTTAAAATGGTTTATAATTATCAGCAAAAGAACTGAAACAGTCTTTATATATGATATTTTGCTATTATTCAGTTTCTAAGACAATAACTTTTTTAAGTAAAATAAGATAATATTAATTAGATTAACCTTAAGTTTGGATAATGTACAGGGCACAATCAAAGATGAACTTGAGAATTTAAGCAGCCCCACTGCTAGGTTATTTTATTAACTGAGACAGGAAAGGATGTGGGATAGAAAAAAAAGCATTTTTAGACATGTTGTATCTGAACAGTAGGACTGTTCTTTCAATTAAGTATAGTTTCATAGTAAGTGTAGGAAACATTTGCTAAGTGATAAGATTCCACATTTTTTACATGGTGTCTATTCCCCCCCACAAAAAAATGGTTGCACTCTATTGGGAGAAAAGAAAAGAAACAAACAAACACTCATACACACTGTGCATCAAAAAGAAAAGCATTTTGGTCACGGTAGATATGAAATTATAGAAGTAGTCTGTTCATAGCAAGTCAGCTTTATTGTAGAACATACTTATTAGAGGAAAAAAGGGACCAGTAGAGAAAGTGAAAGATCTAGGATTAAGGAAAGTAATTCAAATCTAGATCTGAGCCCTTGAAAGAAAGAAATTATAGTATACAAAAGTATCTAATACAGAAATCTTCCTTATGTAATGGTTGAAGAAGTATAGTCAGATAGGTAGTACCATACAATGTACTCCGGAGCAGATAGCTAGAATGTAGTTACCAGCCTTCCTCTATAAAGTTGCATGACTGAGCTTTCCCCTGTAGAGTGAAGAGCATTTTCTAGATCTCATACTTAAAACTTTTTTGTGTGATCCTTCACACTCTGTCTTCCCTCATCCACTAGCTGGAGGCAGAAGATCGCTGGAGTACTCAGATGTCCTAAGGGTAACTGAACCTTACTACAAAATGATGCAGTGCCCCAGAACAACTGCACATAGCAGAAGCACCCTTCTACCACTGACCACTTTCTGATCATGACATTAACTTCCCTGCCTTGCCAGACCAATGATAAAGAAAGGTCAGATTCGTAGGAGAGTTTAAAGATGAAGTCAGTTACACTTGCTGGTCGATGTGACATTTGGGCTGAATGAAATGGGAAGTTCAAGGATGGTCTTCATGTTGTTAGTCTAAACAACTGGATGAATGTTGATGTGGTTAACTCAGAGAAGGCTTTTGGAACAGTGGAGCATAAAGTTATGTTGGTTACAGATTAAGTAGAGAAATAAATGTGCAAATGGAAATGAGTTGTGGAAAGGAGAGCATGTGAGAAGTGTAGGCTCAGTTTCCAGTAAAACGAACCCGCAGGTGTCTGTGGCCTGAATTGAAAGTCGCTGTCCTGAATAAGGCCATTATGAAGGAGTAAATGTGGATGACGGAACAGAAGACAATCACTACAGAATCTCAAGCTCAGGCGGAGAGGCTAATATTTTTTCACTTCTTGAGACTGAACTCAGGGTCTCTACCCTGAGCTTTATCTCCAGCCCCGACCCCATTTTATTTTCAATTCAGATGTTAAATATGTAAAATTATGAAACACTGAAAGTATTTTTTCATTAACTATTGAAAATCAGCGGGGCT